TGAAGAAGACAAACAAGACAAAGAGAATGAGATAAAGAAGCAGCTGAAAGCCAGTCCCCACCCATGTTTCAATGCGTATTTTCCCACGTTCTCCATCTGTCTATTAAGGAATCTTTATGGTTATCACTGACGTGTAGGAACTCCCCATTGTTAAGAATATTAGCTCTCTATCGCGTGCACGCATCTTCCAATCTGTAATCGGTCCTTATTTGGTGTATGCTGTAGAGTTTTAATGTATCACAATATACCATCTTTTCTCTCACGGTTTCTGGCTTTTGTATGTGTCATGCTTCCGAAGTTCTTTCCCACTCTAACATTATGAAAAGATTTTACTCCAATACTTTAAAAACAATTTTTTTTTTTTTTGGTGAGGAAGATTGTCCCTAAGCTGACATCTGTACCAATTTTCCTCTGTTTTGTTTGTGGGATGCCTCCACAGCATGGCTTGATGAGCGACGTGCAGGTGCGCTCCAATGATCTGAACCTGTGAACCCCAGGCCGCTGAAGTGGAGCATGTGAACCCAACTACTACGCCACTGGGCTGGCCCCTAGATTTAATTTAATTTGATATTTATTTATTTATTTATTTTGAGGAAGACTAACCCTGAGGTAACATCTGCTGCCATTCCTCCTCTTTTTGCTGAGGAAAACTGGCCCTGAGCTAACATCCATGCCCACCTTCCTCCACTTTATATGTGGGACGCCTACCACAGCATGGTGTGCCAAGCCGTGCCATGTCCGCACACAGGATCCGAACCAGCGAAGCCTGGGCTGCTGAAGTGGAATGTGCAAACAGAACAGCTGCGCCACCAGGCTGGCCCTAATTTTATTTTTTAAATGATTTTTTTGTTTCCTAAGAGCATTTACAGAATCATTCTCCTTTTTCCCACCGTTTTGCAGTCAAATGCTATGCCCCTAAGTTATGCATCCTGGTCTTTTTTTCCACGGTTTTGAAATGCCATCTTGGATGCAATGATTTTTGTTATTCGCTGCCTAAATTTTTTGAGACATATTTATATTTCTCTATTTTTTCTTTGCTTAGAATTTTGTATGAAAAGACTTTGAACATTGTGGACTGAAACCTCTTGGGGTAACCTAGGATCTTGTTGGAAATTGGTTTAAAAATGCTAGTTTTCTTTTAAAATCACTTATGGCACACCAATTGGAGCTTAATTTAATGAATAAAGTTAGGTTTTCGTTAACTCAATCTTTACCTTATTGCTCAAAGTTTCAGTTTAATTTGTTCGAATGTGATTTGGGCTGCACAGCGTTTCATACTCTTGGTCGTCGGCTCCCATGGCTACCTGTCATGAGCACCGACTGGGGATCCTGCGAAAAACAGCATCGTGGGGTCACCATGGGAACGGAAATGATGATCCGGGATGGTGGCTGGAATCCTTCTTTTCTCATTCTGTTATTAACAGACATCTGGGTTGTTTCCACTCTGGGGCTATCACAGAAAGCTGCCATGGACATTGTAGTATCTGCCTTTTGTGAACCCACAAGCACTCGTTTCTGTTGGGTCTATACCCTGGGGTCCAATTAGTGGGTCAAAGAGTCAGTACGGTGTAGCTTTAATGGATCCTTACAAGTAATTTTCCACAATGCACATGCCACTTTACACACCCACAGGCCGTGGAAGAGAGTTCCACTTGTTCCACACCCTGGAGTTGTCAGTCCTCTTAATTTTAGTCACACTGGTGGGTGTGGGGTGGTATCTCGCTGGGGTTTTATTATAGTCCTGATGACTGATGACATCGGCCGCATTTTCAGATGCTTATAGGCCATTTAGCTGTCGTCCTCTGTGAAGTATCTGTTCAAGTCTTCGCCTATTTTTTAAGTTGTGTCTTTTCCTGACTGATTTGTAGAAATGTTCAAAACCAGGTATTAATCCTTTATCAGACACCCGTCTTCTAAGTACCTTCTCCCGGTCTGTGACCTGCCTGTGCACTCTCTCAGGGGGCTTTTGACGAACAGAGGCTCTTAATGTTAATGAGGTTCTCCTGATCGTTTTTCTATGGTTAGTGCCCTCTGTGTGCCATTTTAGAAATCTTTGCCTATCTCAAGGTCTTGAAGATATTCTACTCTATTTTCTTCTAGAAGCTTTACTGTTTTGATAATTGTGGTCTTTGAGTATCAGCAGTTTCTTACAGCCCATGCTAACACCTTTCACATTTGAGTCAAAGATTTCCTAAGTCAATTTTTGTATATGGAGTGAGATGGGGTCAAGGTTCACTTTTCCCTGTATGGATGTCAGTGTTCCCAGCACCATCTGTCGGGAGGACCATCCTTTCCCCCTGAACTGCTGTGGTGCCTTTGTCACTCTTCTCGGGCGGGTCTGTCCTGGATTCTCTGGTCTGCTCCACTGGTCAGTTTGTCTGTCTCTGTGCTGACGCCTCACTGTCGGAACTGCTATAGCTTTACAGCGGCTCTGGATACCTGCAGGTGGAAGGAGGCACAGTGTTTTCACAGACGGCCCAGACCCTTCCCACAACCATCAGGTGGGAGTGACTTGCTTTGGAGCAGAGGTTCTCAACTCTGGATGCTCGTTTAATCCCCAGGAGAGGTCCCAAAAGCGCCCTGCCCCAGGCTTTATCCCAGACCCACAAATCAGACTCTCTGGAGGGACATTCAGGGAATGGATATGTTTAAAGCTCCCACATGATTCTAACGTGCTCCCAGGGCTGAGATGACTGCTTCAGAGGGGGGTTATTCCCATTTTTCAGAAAAGGAAACAGAAGCCCAAAGTCACATTTTCTAGAGGCATTCACTCACATTCTCTAGGCTGCAGGATCTTTGCTGTGCTACTCTTGCCCTCAGTTTCTATAGAGAACTCCTACTCATCCTTCAGAACCCAGCTCAGGAGTGCCCCATCTGTGAAGCCGTCCTAAGCACTTCAGGTGGGATCAGGTGCCTCTTGCATGCTCTCACGTCCCAGAGCTCCCTCCACCTCAGCCTTCAGTAAGCTTGGCCGTATCTCTGTGCTCTTGTGTCCACACCACACCCGGGCTCTTGGAGTCAGGGTATGGGATGGTCCTAACATGTTTCTAGATCTCTCACAGGCCCAGCATCTGGGAGAACCCAAGAGCGAGGGTGAAACTGGAAACTCCTTGCTCCCCTCTCACCCCTACACATGGCCGTGCTGTACAAACATACTGGGGCTGCCCACCAGCCTGGCGCCACAGCCTGTGCCCCATCAGCTCACTGCAATGTCCCCAGACTGGACAATCATCCTCACCCCCCCAGCCCATGGTGGACACTGGGCCCAAATCCACGGGCCTCGAGTCTGTCCATTTACAGGCGGTTGGGACAGCCTCAAGTCTAGGCTGCAGCCTCCGATGGTGCTGGGAGGGGGCTGTCCTTCCACAGCCATCCTCCTGTTGCTTCCCACCGACACCCACCCCTACAAGGCCACCACAGCTGATGCCGGGCTCCCTGTTCTCAGCAGGGGCGGGCAGCTCCTCACTGAGATTTAGCCCCTGGCCTGGCCTCCAGCCCCCTGTGGCTCTCGTCCACTGTGGCCTCCTGGCCTCTGGGCACTGTCTGAGCTCAACCATCCCCAGTTCAGTCCCGTGTCGCTCAGCCGGCTCCCCACCCGGCCATGGTGCTGTCACTCCTGGTCCTTTCCCCAGCGTCTCCTGTGGGAGTTGGCCCTGGAGCAGAGCGTGTCTAGGGCGGGCAGCGGGTGTGGCCATGGACTCACACAGGCCTCACCCTGTCATTAGCAGGCAGGGCTCTTCCCTCGCAAACCAGGGCACAGACCTGGATTCTGGGTCATCCTACCTGGCCAGCTTTCAGCCTCAGCCATGATAGGGCGACTGCCCTCACCCCTGCTCGTCCTTCTGTCAGGGGCGCACTCCCGTCTGCACCCCTCGGTGAGCAGAGCCCGACAGCAGGGCTGTTGCCCCATCTGCTCACGCGGTGTATCCGATCCAGACGCATCCTGGCCCGCAGGCCTGCCTCCCTGCGCGCGGAAGCGTGGCGGCTCAGAGCCTCCTCCAGCAGCTGCTCCTGATTCTCTCAGCTCTGGAGCCCCACATCCCCACGGCCTGGTTGGTCTGGTCTGTGAGTCCATCAGGACATGCTGAACCAGGCCTGGGAAAGAGCCGGTGTCACCTCTTTTCTAGAAGCTTCGCTGGGTCATCTACTCCATACAGCTTTGTGGATGAGAGTCATGGCTCTGTTAAAAGTAACATCCCAAAGGAAGGGAAAACACTGCTCACAGCTCTTGGTGCTACGGTCATATAATACTATAATAACATCACCAGATGGGGAAGGAACAGAGGGACGACTTTTCTGCTTGTTAGAGTTCATTAGAGACAGCAGAATTGAAAATAGCTTCACTGGACTCATCGCTCTTTATCCCAGGATCAGGTGGTTTAAAAGGTTCTCAGACATCATTAGCACTTCTCTAGCTGATAAACTTGAAGATGACAACTTCATTTTATTTTCAATCTTTTAAAAATTTATTCTAAAGTCATACCCGTTCCTTAAAGATAACTTGGAAAATACAGAAAAGTAAGTGAGGGGAAAAAAAAACAACAATAGTCTCTTTCTTCCAGCACGACAAACATGCCATTGGAAAAGGATTTGTAACTTTCTTGAAGGATCCGAAACTTTGGTGTGAATTTTCAATTGCTGTTACCCCCGACGGAAACCATGTATTTAATTCTCTATTCATCTCTCCTTGGTCCTCGTTCTAGAAACGACGCCACGTGAGCTAAGGGAATAGAAACTGTAAAGAACTTGGAAAATAGCGAAAGAAAACAAATGAGGGGTAACGAGAATGACCCCAAGAAACCCAGCGATCAACTGCTTCCCACTCACGACCATGGCGATATTTGGGTTGGACGTTTAACATCAGGACGATAGGCTGATCTACCTGGTGAATGCTCCAGCTTCCAGACCCACAAAGATTGGGAAACACAGTAGTTGCAAAAGATATGAATGGACTTTATTAGCGAAGCCACAGCCCAGCAGGTGTGGTCTAAATATCACGCTGCTGCCTCCGGGGATGAAGAGAAGCCCCTGAGGAAGTGGCGTGGCCATTGCTCCCACAGCATCTTTCATCTGCCCCACTTGGGTCAGTTAATTTTATTGGCCTTCAGTCTACTTTTCCAAGAGGCCATGGAAGTATAAATAATAAAGCAAGAAAAGCACATCCGTTTGGCTGGCTCCGGGGAATTCTTCTGAATGCGCTGTGAGTACGGCATCTTCCCTTTGAAAAGGTCGAGGGCTTATTCATTGCACGGGAGGGTGTCTTCAGATTGCCAGAGGACACAGTACAGTCAGTCCCAGGCTGGATGTGTTGAAGAAAGTTCTGGAGGAGCCCCAAATCTGGGAAACCTCTCTCTAGAAGAGTGCACTGGGCATCTTTGGACAGACCCTGATTCATTTTCTTGGATGTCCACCTCCAGCACTTTCCTAGAAGAAAAACTTTGGTGGGTGTGGGAATGGGGGTTGTCTGGGGAGACGAGGGGGCCATTCCAACTCAGGTTACCCTGCCCTGTGGCTCTGGCCGAGGTCAGCCTTGTCTGTGAGCTATTTGTGTATCTTCATCTCTCCCCCAGGACAGAGGCTGTATCCTTTAGTTCACTATTCCATGGAGAAAGGCCAAGCAGCCTATTTAATGCATTTTTGAAGAATTGCCTTAATGGATTGGATTTCCTCTCTGATCCCCAAAAAACGCACATTGTAACCTTGGCTGGCTCCTTGCTCCACTCTGGGCCTTGGTTTCCCCTTTATAGCACAAGTGGCGTCAAAGTTGATGGTCCTTTGGTCTTTCCAACTCGTGTATTCCCTCATCCTAGAATGAAGGCAGGAGGAACAGGTCAGGCAGAGAGCTGGAGAGTTCTTGAGGGTTTGGAGAAGTCCACAGGGCTGCAAGGGGGGGAGCTTTGCCTCTCAGGGGTGAGAGCTCCACGTGTGGTTCCAAGGAGGCTGGGGGTCAGTCAGTGGCATCGGCTCAGACCCTTCCCTGGGTGTTGCTCTGATGCCCCAGCACCTGGCACCAGTGAGGGCTCGAAGGAGTTCTTAAGAGAATGAAGGCAGAAATCTCCAGGGACAATTTGGAGTGTTGCTCCTCTTTGTTTCCCAGAAGGAGGACGAAGTCTTTTGCAATGATCATTAGATTTCTTTTGTGGATCTTCTCTCACTTCCAACAGGGAAAAGGGGTTACGTCTTCCCACCACTTATGTTCTAAACTTGCTTTACAAAATGAGAACTGAACTTCAAATATGTCTGGATTGATCTCCTCTTAACACAGTACCAACCCCTTAAGGTGGGTGGACCACAGGGCGTGCCTGGACGTCTCCTCAAGTCCAGGGCTTTGGCGCCGGCCTTTTGGGACGCTCGAGCACATCATTAGGGAGGATCCCTCAGACCCTCGGCCCAAAGGAGGGTACTGAGTTTATCCAAGTACTGTGCACTCCATGGGGAACTCCAGAAAGGACTGGAGGAAAGCTGCGGTCTCAGAGGGCCTGGGGCTCCTTGGGGCAGGGCAGGACGCCAGTGTCCAGCCTGTGCGGGAAGAGGCCCCTCATCGAGGGGGGCACTCTGGCTGGATGACACTCACTCATTAGGGCTCGGGTCGTTGGGGACGAGGGGAACTCATCCAAAGCCTCCTAGACTTTTAGTCTCATTGCCCTGAGGGTGGACACCACACAAACTCCTCCTTGCCGGTTTCCTCACAGGGAAAAGAGAGAGAGGATAGAAACCATCATGAGAGGGTTGGGGAAGGTCTCTTCCCTCTGAAGTCAGTCGTTCTAAACCTCCCTGCGGTGAGTTCCTTCGTATCCTGTGTGTGCTTCTATTGTACTGTTTTCCCAAACCACTGGCGATAACTTGTGTGAAAGTACTTTGTAAAATTACCAATATTACTATTATTGAAAGTGCTGTCACATCTCACCGTCCCCACCCCTGACTGGCTTTGATTGACTAATTCCAATTACTAAGCTTATCAGGATGGTGTGGGCGGAGAAAGCGGGTGTGGGCTGCCCCTCCTGGGAGCCCTCCATGGGTAGCCCAGCCCTGTGTAGACCTAAGGTTCTGAGCTGCTTGTCCAGAGGGCTCCCGGTTTATTCCTGCTGTGGACCTGGTCTGGCTCTGTCTTCAGGCTGAATGACTCCTGGGTCAGTGCCATGCTATTTTATCTATTCGTAAGAGAAGGAAATTATTTTCCCAAGTTAATGGAGAATGTGGGACCTGGATAGTCAGAGAAGAAGGGAAGTCCTGGTTATAGCTTCATCTGCCTGGGTGTCCCCTCCACGGTTTGGTTTCTATCTTGGTTTTTTTCTTTGTTTTGTTTACTTATTTTATTTAAAGTGATAACCAGACACACACACACACACACACACACACGCATACGCACACACTCCAAAATAGAAACCGACAAAGCATTGCTCAGCTTGGGCAATCTATCAATTTATTGGGAAATAACCAGTCAGTCAGCTATTTTAATTGATGGAATAAAAAAATCACCTTACTCAGCCATCTGGGACTGGTTCCCATCTGACAAGGTTGGCTCAGTGTAGGGACTGTGATGACACATGGAAAGGCCCAGAAATGGGGCTGGTGTGGGCTGTCTGCGGGAGAAAGGCCAGCTGTCGGTACTCTGTGGGCCTGGACAGGAGGCCCGTGGGGACCACAGTGACACAAGCTTATGGAGGTGGGGACCTGAGACCTGGCAGGTGTGGGCTGGGTCCCAAGGGGTGGGGCAGTGAGCTGAGTGGCAGCATCTAGTGGGAAGGAGCTCACAGTATTCCCCCGGCCCCCCCCCCCATTTAACAGACAAAGATACTGAGGCTCTGAAGGGTCAGGAGGTTTCCCATAAGAACCATAAGCAGGAGAAGATCAAGACCATGACTTCTAATTCCATAATCAGTTTTTGTTCCTGAAACTTGGTGAAGAAGAAGAAGCTTTCAGGGGTCCCTGATGGACCAGTTGCTGTGAAACTATGTGTGGAGCCGTCTGTGCCAGAAAACGTGTCTGGGATGGTGCTTCCAGGAGTTCCCCTTCCCTGCTCCGGGTTCTGGCCCTGCCCCGCCCTGACTCAGGCATGCTGCTGGCAGGTTTCTCAACAGCCCTGCATCTCACCCGGCTGCTAAACCTGCTGCTGAGAATGTTCTCTGGGCTCCTTGACGGACGGGTCTCAGCGTCTCCACTCCTGGGCCTTGGGCAAGAGCACGCACATGGGCGGCAATCCAGTCAGAATACAGGAAGCTTCTGTCTTTAATCCAGGCGTGCTTGGCACACAGTCCAGCCCTTTAACCAGAGACACGGCATCTTTTCCATCTGCTATTCTCCTTCTTTTATCTGACACATTCTCTGGGATTTTACTAATCTTCTCTTCTATAATCTATTTTCAGACAGCCCCTAGAGCCCTTGTTCATTACTAGCTATTTTTAATTTTTACTAAAAATTAGATCATTAGGAGTGGAAGATGCTTAGATATCACCTAGGCTCAGAGAGGGGAAGTCCTTTCCACAGCGTCACACAGCTATAAGGAGTGAGATCAGAGCCAGGACCCCTCACTGTTTGGTTGTCCTGGCTTTTTTGTTTGCTCCAATATACACTTGTATTTGTTAGGATGCTTCCGGCTTTGAGTAGCTGACCACATAACTCACACCAGCATCTCTGGGAGTCTAGAGGCAGAGCGCGCTCCGCTTAGCCTGATCCGTGGCCCCAGCTCCACTTTCTCTGCAAAGCCCTTCCATGCACCCTCTTTGAGTTCTGGCTTTGTCCTACAGTCACTTCCCTCATGGGGCAAGTGGCTGTGGTAGTCACTGGCATCTATACCTTCCTGCCCAGGACATCCAGAGGAAGACAGAGGGCGGCACCCCAACATTCCAACAAAGAGCCCCAAAATTCACCCTCATTGGATCCCTTAAGCTGTGTGCCCCTCCCTGAACGACTACCAGGGCAGAACCTCGCTGTGCACTGATGGGATCAGGCCGGGATCCTGAACCAATCACTAGCAGGGGACTTGAGGTCACCCTTCCCCAACCAGGACCCTCCTTGGAGCTGGGGATGGGCCCTTGTCCCTGAGGCACATGGGCTGCCTGGGGGAAGGGGAGACACTTGGAAAGAAAACGAAGTTCTGTTAAAGATGGAAGGGGAGCATGGGAATCAATGAGTAGAATCCACTAGAATTTCCAATCACTGGACCACAAGCTCTTTGAAGAGCGTGTCTACTATGATGAAGGCTGTATCCACAGTGCCCGGCATAGAGGGTTTGGGGCCATGAAGAACTTGGGCATTTGGGGCACTCCTCGGTGGAAGCCCCGTGCTGACGTTCATTCATCTTCTCGTTCAGTCAACTAGAAAGAGCCTACTCTGTGCCAGGCATAGGCATCGAGCTGCAGTGGACCCCGTTGGTGCTGAACCCAGTTCTGCTAGGCTAGGGGTGCTGTGAGGGTTGGTTACCAGCAGCTCACAGCTGCCCGCCCCTCTCCAGAAAACTGTCTTTGGCTGGCAGGAGCTAATTGACCCAGGAAGTTGTACCCCACGCCCTGCATCCTGGAGGCAGATCACAGCCATTGACTGACTGATTCGGTGCGTAAGTCCAGCCCCTTCGTCTTGCAGGGTTAATGCTGTCATGTGGCTCATGCTTCAGGGCCCTCCCCTCTGGATGGGGCCAAGGCTAGATATTACGTGGAGCCACATCCTTGCTCAGTTCCTTCCCCCTCCTGCCCTGCTTCCATTACTTCCCAAGGGGCTCCTCCTAAAAGCACACAATATACACCTGAATCCTTGTCTCAGGCTCTGCTGCTCAGGAACTCAATCTAAGAGAACCACGAACAGCCTTTATCGTTGAAGGTCACACTATTTCCCAGGGATTGCAGACAAATAAAGATGTCAGTTATAGGAAAGTACATAGTAAGTGATAACAGAGGACCAAGCAAAGAAACCTGCCCTCATTTGACATACAAATTAGCATAAAAATCATCGACAGAAGCATGTCCAACTAGAGAAATCAACGAGCTCTTTGGATTACCATACTTTTGGCAGCTCTGCAACATTAGGACTGGACGTTAAGGGAAATCAGAAAATGAAGCTTTTGTCCTCCCAAAGCTCAAGTCTTGTTGGGAGATGTCAAAGCTGAGAGGTGGGTAAATGAGCAGCAGCCCTGGAGCCAGGCAGACTTGGCTTTTCTTCTTCATGACACCACCCTCTTCTCTTCCCTGGGAATGTGTAGGGAAGCAAGTTTCCCAGAGATCTGGGTTCTCCTGGGGTGGGTGTCCACCACTTACAGACCATGGGATCTTAGACTTTATTTCTGCAAATAAGTCAGAATTCTTCTAGTTGTAAGGAAAAAAGTCCAACTCAAACCAGCCAACCCTAAAAGGAAAACTTATTGGTTCTTATAACTTGATAAAATAGAGGTATCTGGGCTTCAGGTAAAGTTTGATCCAGGGATTCCAAAGACGTCGCCAAGCATGTCTCCCTATTTCTCTCTTTCCATCTCTATTTTCGTTCTGTCCTTCTATATGTGGAAGTCATGGCCACATTCAGCTCCAGAACTGTATCACTAAGCCAGTCACCCCAGAGTTAAAAGGGCTTTGCATTCTTAGGGAAAGACATTGATTAATCTGATTTTGGCCACACTCTCATTCCTTAACCAGTGTGACAGGGGAATGGACTATAATGATTGCCTAGCCCAGGTCACCTGCCCACACTGTAGGGTATTCTTATTGTGATCCAACAGAGTGGAGGAAGCAGTCCCTCAAACAAATTGAGATACTGTTACTCTAAGACAGAGGAGAGGGGTACACAAACAAGAGCTGTCTTCTATGCTCCGGGCTGTCGTTTATGCAATGGGGACAATCATTTCTAGTCTCCGGGGTGATTGTAAAGATTAAAAGCCGTGATGGATGTCAAAGCACTTATAAACCGCTATGCACAGCACACGCTGGTCACTGCATCATTTCTTTCATCAGGTCTTCCTTGTGGCTAAGATAGGGTGGTCAATGGGTTCTTTTGTTCGTTCTTCTGCTAACCTCATGTCTACTACTCAACAGGACAATCTCCAAGGAAAATGAACCCTGCTCTGGGCCTGGGCCTGCTTCTGGCTGGCCTCCTTACTGTGGAAGGTCTCCTGAAGCCTAACTTCTCTCCAAAGAATCACGGAGCTGGGTGGCAGGCCCGAGCGTGGAAGGGAAGTAGGGCAGTCCAGGAGCTCGCAAGGCGGAACACAGAATTCGGCTTCAAGCTTTACAAGAAGCTGGCCTCCAGCAGCCCCAGCACAAACATCTTCATATCCCCCTTGAGCATCTCCATAGCTTTCTCCATGCTGTCTCTGGGGGCCCAGGACTCCACCCTGGACGAGATCAAGGACGGCTTCAACTTCAAGAATATGCTGGAGAAAGACCTTCATGAGGCCTTTCATTTCCTCATCCAAAGCCTGAGCCAGAGGGACCAGGATCGTGAGCTGAGCCTCCAGAATGCCTTGTTTATCGACCAGAGGTTGCGGCCAGCAGAGAAGTTTCTGACAAATGTCAAGAACCTGTACGATACAGATACTGTCCCCACCAACTTCCAGAACATGGAAAATACTCAGAAGCAGATCAATGACTATGTCAGTCAGAAAACCCAGGGGAAAATCAACAACCTGATCAAGAATATAGACCCTGGCACAGTGATGCTTCTTATAAATTGTATTTTCTTTCGAGGTAAGGCTTGGAGCATGTTGGTGTGGAAAGGATAGGATGACCAGCAGACTTGGATTAAAAACCTGGGTTGGCCACTTGCTTGCTCTGTGACCTTGAATTTATATGTAATTAGTCTCTCGAACCCCACTTTTCCTATCTGCAAAATGGGTACCTGGATACTTAACTCATAAGGTGGTTATTGAGATTCAGAGTGAAAATGTACGAAGAATGAATTTTGTGAAGTCTAAATTATTCTCCATTTGTGCATTTGCATTATTGCTGATTATCCTAACACAACATTGGTTGTAGAGATGGAGTGACATTCTATTCCCCATTTCTTACATGAGGAAAGTGAAATTCAGAGAGAGATTAACTGACTTACTCAGATTTACAAGCCCAATCAGTGAAAGTCAGGACTAGAACCCACTTCTCTTGACCCAAGGGCTTGTGTGCTTTCCATCATGCCAAGTAGACACCCAGGATGGCGATGGTGTTGATGATAGTGATGATGATTACTTTGGTAGGTGCCTTGGTCTCTCACCACATTTTGCAGACTCCCCAAATCTGAGCGTGAGAGACTGAAAAGAAGATGGAAGAATTTCCCCAAATCCAAGCTTCATCCGTACCCCCATGCCCACACATCCACTCACACACCACGTGCACACACAAAGGTTGGCCAACATAGGTGAGAATCAGAGGCCAAAAGCCCTCCAGCTAGGCAAGACCACTGCTGGGCTGTCAGCTACACAGTCCTAAATATGGAAGTTCAGCTCTTGCCAAATCCATGGGAGATTGATGGCTATAGAGGAAAAAAGGAATAATAATTATAGACCGAAATCTCAGTCTGCCTTAGGCAGAGGGAAAAAGGAGGATCTAGAATTTCTCCAAATCCCCACACCCTCTAGATTACAACAGAGCACAGCAACAATGATGCTGATGATGACTAGTATCCACTCAACACTCACTATACACAGTCACTGAGGTGTGTTGCCTTTTCTTACTCAGTCTCACAGCAGTACCTATGAGGTACCCATCAACATGCTTATTCTGCAGATAAGGATGCTGAAGCCCAGAGAGGTAGAGACACTTGTCCAAGGTCATCCTTTTGGAACAGTGAAGCCAGAATTTGAATTCAGGAGCTTGGCCCTCAAGGCCCTATACTGGGGACTCTGAGGGTAGCGAGTGTGAAAAGACTGAGGTCTGAGTTTGTGCCCAATAGTGTGAAAGAGTCGTCAGGGTCAGAAAGGAAGGGTCTAAAGGCCCAGCTCTGAGTGTTCACTGCTCTTCAGCAGGCTCCCGAGGGCAGCCTGTTCCACATGTTTTCTTAGTGCCACCTGAGAGCAGCCCCTCCAGGGCTGACAGACTAGAGTTGAGCATTCTCACTCACATCAGACCCAAAGAGCCCCCACTAAGTATAATCCAGTCCCCTCTGCTGGGACACAGTCCACAGGCTTCTCGGCCTCAGGAGCACCTGGGTTTGGGATAGTCTACAGGTCCCCTCTCAGCTCAGCAGCCCTGGTCTTGGCTTCTTTGGGAACTGATAATCGGGCCCCATCCTATCTCACCAGAAGTCTTCAGGGCATGGCATGAAGGCAAGAATTCCTGGGGCCCTGCCCTGATATCCTAGAATACCCACACGCCTTCCTTGAGTCTGTGTGAACAGAGAACAATGGTTAGCTGGATCTGCTCACCTCTTCTCCCACAGGATGCTCATGTCACTTTGTCCTTCTTCCAACTTAAGCCAGGTGGGAACATGAATTTGATCCAAAAGCAACTAAAGAGGAAGATTTCATTCTGGATGGAAACAAGCCAGTGAGGGTCCCTATGATGTTCCGTGGGGGCATGTATGCGGTGGGCCATGACGACCAGCTCTCCTGCACCGTCCTGGAAACGCCCTACCAGGGCAACATCACTGCCACCTTCATTCTTCCTGATGAGGGCAAAATGAAGCAGGTGGAGGAAGCCTTGAGGACAGACACTTTTGCCAGATGGAAAAGATTAATCACACAAAGGTAAAGAGGGTGCCCGGCGCATGCAGCTTCTTCCTTCTTCCTCTTGTCCCTCCATTCTCATTATTTCCATCCCCAATTTATTGACCTCTTACCCCATGGCCAAACCCTATTCTGGCCTCCATAATTAACTTATATTTTGGTAGGAAGTAGACAGGAAAAAATATCATAGGAATATAGTGAAACACTTGCTCTTAGAGGAAGATGCATAAAAATTGTGAGAGTGCAGTGGATGGAGCAAAAATTTGGTGGACGGTCATGGTCAGAGAGGGCTTCACAGAGCAGATGGCATTTGAGCTTAGTCTTCAAGGCTGAATAGTGGCCTGTAGGGAAGGGAGAGGCACGATGGGATTCCAGGCAGAGGGAAAGTGCAGGGACAAAAACTTAGGGTGGCAAAGGAAGCTGTTGTTTTTTGTACGTAGAATGATGTTTTCAATTGCGCTGTCATAACTAACCCAGTGAAGTGTGTCCCAAGTAAGTTATACTAATAACTGGTCCATTCTCAGCCTGGAGCCATGGTACTTTTACATGTTTATTGGGATGTGTATCCACCTTCCAGCATGGGCCCCAGCTTTTCTGCCTTCCCACTCTGGCACGAGTCAAGCCAGCCTCCCAATGTGTGCCATGATTATCATCATCATTTTCCTATGAGTGGCTTAGAGAAGTAAGATCATTGGCTCCAAGTTAGAGCTCATGAGAAGCAGAGTGGATTTGAACTCAGCTCTGCTGGCTTCAGATCTCAGAGCCCTGCTGGGGTCAGGACTGCCTCAAGGCTTGGGCGTGGCTGAGCCATCAGCAGAGAGATCCTCCATGTAGCTGAAGGGGCCCTGAGAGACTGGGGACTTGAGGACCCTTCTGTAGACGAGGGTCTGGGGCAGGTTCGATAGGAAGTAGGGACATAGGTCAGAGAGCATGGGTGTCCTGAGACCAGGCTCCCAGGGTTAAGAAGCCCCTCCTCGTTCTGTGGACAGGGAGAAGGCCTGAGACCTCTGGGGCTGGCAGGACAAATGCCTCATTCACCATCCATCCTGGGCCCTGCCCGGAAAATGGTAGGACCCTGTCGCTCACCTTTGTCAATTTCATCTCCCCAGGGTTACAGATGTGTCCTTGCCCAGGTTTTCCATCACCGGTACCTACGACCTGAAGAAGACTCTCTCCCACCTGGGGATCACCAAAATCTTTGAGGAGCACGGTGATCTCACCAGGATCTCCCCTCATCGCAGCCTGAAAGTGGGCGAGGTAAGCCTGCCTGGCCTGGACGCTGCCCCCCTCCCCAGCCCAGGGAGCCTTCACATGGCCCCGGGCCAGAGCTGCTGTCACAGCGGCTGTACAAGCCAGGATTTCACCCACCAGTCAGGCTGGGCTCAAATCCAGCTCTGTCCCTAACCAGTCATGTGACCCTGGGCCAATCACATAACTTCCCCAAGCCTCACCTTCCCCGTCTTTAAAATTGGAAATATCCATCTCCTGGGGCTATTTTGGAAGTCGATTCAATGTAACAAACAAGTGATCAAGGCCTGGAACATTTATCAGGCCTAGAACCCGTCTTGGTTTGCCTAGACTGTCTCTCAAAGGCTTCCAGGCTTGTTAGGAGTAAGCTGTAAACATGCTCTTCACCAGCAAGCTGGGGACCCCAGAGTCTCCAGCAAGGCTGAGCACCTGCCTGTTGGGGGGGCAAGGAGAGATGACGCATGGGGTAGGGTCCCCAGATTTAGCAGATGGAATGTGGGACACCCAGTTAAACTCAAATTTCAGGTAAGTGATGAACACTTTTTTTTTTAGTATATGTACATCCTAAACATTTCATGGGATATACTTACACTAAAAAATTCATCATTTATCGGAAGTTTAAATTTAACTAGATGTCCCGTGTTTTATCTGGCTACCCTGCTTTAGGTGAAAAGGGCATTGAGGGGGGAAAGATTTCAACAAGCAGAGCCAGGTGTGGGGGCAGCATCATGGAAGGAAGACTGGAGGGGGAAAGCAGGAGCAGCGGGCAGTGGGGACAAGCTGGCGCAGAGGGGGCAATTCTAGCCAGTCTGGGAGGGATCTGGTCGCCAGCTGAGCTGACCGTTCTGAATCAGTGGGCACTGACTCAGATTCATTTTCCCAGTTGGCAAGCGGAAGAAAGGCAGTTAATAGAATTTTCTCACTTTTAAGTTTTCATGCCATGGACTTCCCATAAACACTCAGTGCCAGCTGCCCCTTTCCCGTAGGCCTCTATGTATCAAGCTCAATGGCTCGTTTCTTTTCCACACTTGGGTGTGCTCATGGCTGCGATTCTGTATGTAAACATCAGCTGGCGGCCTGCTGACGGCACTGGGGTGGATTGGGGTCCGAGTCACCTTCAATAGCCAACCGAGAATCTGGCTCCCTCTTAACCATCCAGCAGGTGGATGAAAAGAGTGTGTGTGGGCTGGGGGTGGGGGGCGTGGAAGGCTCTGGGTCAAGGATGCCCCATCTCCCTTCCATCTACCTAAGGTTCAACAGACCCTTTCTGCCATTATGACTGTTGGCACTTCCTGTAAGTCACAGGAAGAACAGGAAACTCCACTCCACCTGCCCCCACACCTGGTAGCTGATGCTCCCCATGCACCATATATTCCTTCACGCTGCATCTGCTTGTCCAGGGTCCTTCAGCCATGACAGCAGAGGAGCCAGGAGCCCCGGGGCAGCTGGCACCAGCCAAGTTACTGCTGTGCTGGGCGACTTTAGCTGAGGCCTCTCCCTCTCTGAGCCTCTCACTGCCTTGGCCCACCCATGGCCTCCGAGTGTCTTGGCAAGCACTGACCTCGCTCCCCGTTCCTGCAGGCGGTGCACAAGGCTAAGCTGAAGATGGATGAGAAGGGTGCAGAGGGGGCTGCGGGCTCCGGAGCACAGACGCTGCCCATGGAGACGCCGTTCATCGTCAAGCTCAACAGACCCTTTCTGCTGATCATTGTAGAGAAGGTCACAAATTCAGTGCTCTTCTTGGGGAAGATCGACAATCCTACTGGGAAATAAGGGGGAATTCGGACTTGCTGCAGACCCCAACCGTGGCCTGGAGCTGAAAACGTTTCATCTCACTGGGACTGAGGCCACAGGGATGTTCTAATCTAGTCCCGCATCCTCATGAGCTCCCAAGACCACCGTCCAAACAGGCAGCACTGGCTCTGGGGGCTTCTGTGGGCTGTTTCCTCCCTTAGCCCCCTCCCCACCCATTCAAATGTCAGATCAGATGTGCCACCCTCACCCACTGGGCGAGATCTCGCCCCCTGGTGGGCAGAGGGGTTTGGTGATTTAATAAACAACAACCTGCCCCCCAAGGTCTGCTGGCTGTTGGTGGATAATTTGGGGATGCTGCGACCCAGGGCGAGCACCTGGGCTTCAGAGTGAGGCACACCTGGGTTCAAATCTTAGTGACGAAGTGTCTTTGGGAAAGCCACATACCTTCTCGGAGCCTCTATTTCTGTATTTCTGAAATGAGGACAATGATACTCGGCTCTGGGGCTCAGAGGAAACTAGCACCCTGTTTGAGAAAAGTTAGTTCCCCTTGGTAAGCCCTTGGCCTTGGCTCTTTGGCACGTGAGCTATGAAGTTTTCTCCCCCAGAGGGGCCACAGGGGAGCTCTGGGCTCAGCGGGCACCCAGGCAGATGGCAAAACAGGGGTGGGGCTGGTCCAGCAGGAGAAGGATGCGACCTGGAGCAGCGGCAGCTGGGATTGGATGCCAGCTGAATTTGTTTTGTTCGCCTGATTCCACAGCACAAAAATTAGAGCCTGGGATTTGAACCTGTTAGCAAGCTCAGCTTAAGAGTGAGTGGGGTCCACGCTCTGACCCCATAAATCACGGCCTTGCAGGGTCTGCCCATGACCACCAGGGGGCACCAAGTGCTCACGGGCTCTCATTCTCCCCAGCTGATTCGTGCCCTACAGCCAACGCCCAATGCGCTGGTGTTTGGGGACGAGGGGATCCTGCTTGTCGTGGCGCTCAGAGGCCTGAGCCGGCACAACTGTTGTCCCCTGGGTGTGCCTGGCACTTCACAGTTCACTGTGCTTTTTGTGTTCTGGTCACTACCCTGCAGGCAGCAGAATGGACGTCCATAGGACAGATGTAAAAACAGGTTCAGAGAGGGGAAGCGACTTCCCTGAGGCCTTGTGGTTAGCCACAGGCCGCGAACGTCCACGTCTTCTGGTTTGGGGCGGGAAGGCAGGAGTTCCACGCGGACCCAGGGGCCCAGCTCGTCATCCCTCAGCTCCTCTCCAAGCAAGAGAGCTGCCCGGGTCTCTTCGATGTTTGGGCATCCAGGGAGCGCCTCCTCCGTCCTCCGTGCTGCGCCCCCGCAGGGCCTGGAGACCCGGTATGGATGGGGCTGGTTACTGGGAAGTGCTAAGAAGGGGGAGCCCCTTTGAGAGGGTGGGACAGGAGGAAGGTTGAGAGCCTGCACCAGGGACACAGATCTGGGGCAGAAGGCTGGGAGTCCCACAGAGCGTCTGCCGACCATCCCCAGTTTACCGCACCAGCCTGAGGGGTTGGGGGTGGGGAGACGCCAGGCGAACACAGAATTCCTCAGAGGTCGACTCAGGTCTGCAACATAGGCCACTGGGGACACGGGACAGCCAGCTAAGCCACTTAGTTGGGTGACTTGGCATGTTGCTTAACCCCTCTGAGCCTCAGCCCCTCCCTGACTTGCTGAAAGGGGCTAATATCTACCTCACAGGGCTGGGGAGCTGTGAGGATTCCCCAAGGTTGCACACTAGCTATGCCTGGCACGTAGTAGGCATTCGCCAGAGAGCCACTGCTGTGGTCTTCCTCCACCCTTGCTGGGGCCTCTGAGATGACCCAATGAGCTGTTGCCTAAAAGCTGTGCTCCAAGCACTTGCCTTTGCCGTCCCCTCTACCGGGAATGCGCTCCTGCCTAATGAGCTCCTACTCATCCTTCAACACCCAGTCCATTATGACCTCTTCATGAAATTTTCTCTGCCTTTCCAGCATTTTCCAAGCAGCCCTTCAATAAAGCACTCAGTTCCATGCATTGTGGTGGCTCCTGGGTCTGAATTTTCTCTCCAGCCCCCTGTGGGCTGCAATCAATCCTGTGTTAAACAGTGATTCATGGGGCAGTGGTCTCCGGACTAGTTGCTGATACAAAAGGCCTGGCCCCGCCTTCACGGAGTTAATATCCAGTGGGAGAAACAGCCACGAATCAAGTAACCACACATGTGAGTTTATAAAGCTCCAGGAACCACGAGGAAAGACGGCTGTGGTGGGCTCCGAGAGAACGTAACAGGAGGGTCTGACTTGCTCTGGGGGCTCAGCAAGGCTTCAAGCTGTGACAGCTGGGGAGAGCTCCGGATGCTGTGAGCTCATCTGTTTTTGAACTGCAGCTATTAACTAAAACTGCCTACAGGCGTGTTTTCCCCCAGTGTAGTTAATAATATATTAAGTACGGTTGGTCTTTCAAATTAAAATTGCACGTAAGCTCTTGTGCTTTTTCATCTTCCTTTTAACTAATTTTATTCTAAAAATGACTGTTCCACATCTTAAGCATTTTTTCTCTATGATTTCCTAGCCATATTTTCACTCCATACTACAGAAAGAAATTTTATCTGGGGAACAAAAAGAAGGATAGAAGTTGGGGTGGGAGCAGAGGAAGACTCGACCCAGCAGAGGGAGCAGCATATGCAAAGGCTCTGGGATAGGGAGGTGGCATGAACGAGGAAGTGAAATGAGATTATTGTTGCCAGAGCAACAAAACAAGGCAAGAGGAGGTGGGCGGTGAGACTGCAGAGGTAGATTGGGGCCTCATGGGCCACAGGGAGAACGCTGGTCTTTGAAGGACGATGGTGAGTCATTGCAGGTGTTTAATTAGAGGGTGACCTAGGCAAACTCATGTTAAGTGTCCCTCTGGCTGCAGACTGGGTGTCCCCATGTCCCCAGTGCCCAGGCCAGTGCGTGTCACAGAGAATGTGATCAGTGTATGTTTGCTGAAAATAGAGACTGCCACAGCAATCACCCATGTTCCAGACACAGCCAGCCGGCTCTAAGCTCTCTTCTCCTCTGGGAGGGAGGGCCACATGCCTTAGCCTGGCAGCCCTGCCCGCTGGGATGTGGCCGTGCCTGCTTGTCACGTGGGTCTGCAGAACACACCCACTGCCTCACCACCTCTGTCCATCTGCTCACGCCATCCCAGCCGGCCCCATATCTTCCTCGTTCCCCATTCTCTCCTACTCCCACCAGTTCGTTTCAGAGTGTTACTCATCCTTCCAGGAAAGATCCACTCCTCCTTTTTCTAAGAAGCCTTCCCAAGCCACATGTTTGTGGACTGGCTGACCTAGTCAGCGAATGAATGGGTTCTGACTTTGAGGTGACCCACACTTACCAAATGGCTCTCGAAAGCTGGGGCTGCATGGGTACATCCCCCAACCACTGACCCGCCACCCCTCGAGTGCGTGTGACCAGTCCGTTTTGCTGATGAGAAAATTGGAGGCTCAACAAGATCATGTAATTTGCCCAAGGTCCCACAGCTAGAGAGCCACAGAGCTCAGACTCCTTGGGACATCTGTCCACCCATCCATCCATCCAACAAATATTTGCTGAGCATCTACTCTGTGCCAGGAACTGTTCTAGGGGTTGGAAACACATCAGCGAACAAAGTACACAAAGCTCCTTGCCCTTGTGGAGGTTCCAGGCTGGAAGACAGAAGCAACAGTAAGCAGTAGGGGTAGAACTTTGAGCAGAGCAGGTAAGGGAGAGGGAGGTGCCGACGGCGCTGGTGGTGGTCAGGTCGGCCTCACTGAGCCAGCGACACTCAGCACTGAGACAGTAGATATGGGGATTCTCCTCTCCATGGTCTCTGTTGAACAACCGGCCTCTGGAGGCTTCTGGCCCAGGAGATGCCCGCATCTGGGTTAACTGATGATAGGAGAAGGGTGAGCCCCAACTAGGAATGGAAGCGCCCAACGTCGGAAACCCAGGCTTCCAAGGCCCCTCTGACGTGGTCCAGCTTGACTTTTCACGTGATACTGGATGCCTTTGTGCAGCTTCCGAGCAGATGGCTTTTCACGCTGGCACAGGGTGCCAGGAGGCTGGTTTCCTGTCTGTCTAGCCGGGAGAGCGTTTCCCACTCTTCTGGATCGCCATTTTGGTGCTCAAGTGTGACAATAGGAGTCACACAAGGCAAAGGCACCCTTTCTCTTTGGGAAACAGCTCTCCATTTCTGCTCAGTTTCCCAAGTTTCATTCATTCCTGAACCAGTTTCCCGATTGTGGCTGAATCCTCAATCTCTTTTGTATGATTATTTACTCAAAATCTTTAAATCAATTCATGGATTTTTTTTTTTTTAAAAAAAAGAAATTTGTTTAAGTAGAAAAGTTAATATCAAAACCATATATAGAAAACCAGAAAACTTGCCACAAATAGAAATTAGCTGTAGAAATACACACACAGTGAAGCCAATCTGATGGTTACATTCGACCAAGACAGTTGGCGGCTGCAGCCCCCGAGCCTGAGGCTGCCCTGCTTTGTTACAAAGGCGAGTTGGCAGGTGTAAGATGGCTGTAAAGATGTTCAGGCACCAAGCCGAGACTTTCTCCTTGAGGGTCAGGAAAGAGAACCCGAGGAGGCAGGATGTAGCCGAAAGCTCCTGAGGTTGTCTAGTCTGTGAGCTCACAGAAGCCACCTCCCTGATCCCCGGAGTCTTAGCCCAAGCTTGGACTGTGTGCGTGATTCATAATGCCTGACGACTGGCCTTTCTTTCTTCTTCTCATTTTAAATAAATTTTAAAATTTTGGAATAATTTTAGATTTACAGAAAAGTTGTGAAGATTGCACAGAGTTTCTGCATCCCCTTCGCCCAGTTTCTCCAAAGTTAACATCTTACACAACCGTGAGACATCTGTCACAGCTAGGGAACAAATGTGATGATCCATTATGATTAACTGAACTTTCTTTGATTTCAACAGTTTTTCTCACTAATATCCTTTTGTCTGTTCCAGGCTCAAACCCAAGATACCATGTTGCCTTTAGTGGCCTTTCATTCTAAGACCCTTGGCAGGAGGCCCTGAAGTCTGACAGGCTAATGTTCAAACCCAGCTCTGCTGTGTATATGGTTTGTGACATAGGCGAGGCCCCTAACTGCACCTAGTCCTTAGTTTCTCTGCTCTGTGAAGTGGGGTCATCAGCTCCATCTCACAGGGCATTTGGGGTAATTAAATGATGTAACGCGTGTGACCCTACTTCACACCCGGTAGGCACCCATCCACATTAGCGATGCCTGTTAAAGGCATCCAGAGTGAGGAGGGGAGTCTGTGGGTGGGCCTCCT